TTTAAATTTTCTCCGTTCGTTGCAATGATGGATGACTCATATTTAGACGTGACGGCCGACTATGTCGACGATTGTAAAATAACTCAAAAGAGTTACCATTCGTTCACCATCAGTATTCAAGCTCAGCTCTATCATACAATGAGGAAATTAGAATTAATGTTCAAAACATGGATTCTTACACTTTACCGTGCGAGAGTTATATTTTCATCGAGGGTAAAGTAAACAAACCTGCCGATGCGGTGGGAGAGAGAGGTAAGTTCGGTTTTCAAATAACGGATTGGCATTTTTATTCTCTGAAATGCGATACGAGATAAATGGAATAGAAATTCAGAAATTGAAATCACCCGGAGTGTCGTCTAGTTTGAAAGCTTACTGTTCGTATACTCCGAACGATTTGAATGCGCTAGAGAACTTGGCTTGGGACTCGGAAATGGATAGTGAAGATAATAAAAATTTTATGACCAACAATGTATTTTCTGGATGTATTCCACTAAAACATTTATTTGGGTTTTGCGAAGATTATAAGAAAATATTACTCAATTGCAATCAGCAACTGATTTTGAATCGCGCATCTAGCGACCTCGATGCGATACATGTTGTGGGCGAAGGCGCAACAGCCGACGTCGATAAAAATAAAAAAAATCACAATAAGACTAAGGTGACTTGGAAGATGCCTATTATCAAAGTCARTGATAAAGAAAAATTAAAGTTATTGAAAGAATTAGATTCTCGTACAACACTGTCGTGTGCGTTCAGGACCTGGGATCTATGCGAGTATCCAGTGCTCCCTAGAAACACTTCTCATTCGTGGACTGTAAAGTCTAGCAGTTTRCTCGAAAAACCAAGATTTGTGTTGTTTGGATTACAAACAAGTAGAAAAAACAATATCGAAACCGACGCTGGGCGGTTTGATCACTGTCAACTAAAAAATCTTAAGGTACACTTGAAYTCCGAAGTGTATCCATATGAAGACTTTCGAGCCGATTTTAAAAATAATACCACCAGCATACTCTACAAAGCTTATACAGACTTTCAAAAATCGTATTACGAAAGAGATTATTGATCAGGTACATGATCAGATCATAACTTACAATCCGTTTAGTGGAGATGTTAGAAAATTGTAAACCTTGTTTATTATAACTCTTATAATTTTTTTTTTTATATATATATACTTTATAAATATCTTATAATTTTTTTTTATACCTTGTTTTAAATATAAATTGTAAACCTTATTGTAAAAACTTAATCTAATAAATAAAAAAACTTGTTTAAGTATCACACTTGTTTTTATTTTACACAAAATGATTAAACAATAATTATTCGAACAGTTTGCGTTTAGCGTTCCGTTTTTTCGTGGGCTTGCCGTCTAGAATAGATGGTGACTTCTTGAAAGACGTCGGACCGTCGTTCTMATCAACTGCGGGGCTCGTTGGTAGAGATTCAATGTATTTATCATGCCATGGAGGGTACTGCGCACAATTGTCTAAACAGTCGAACGATGGTGTACTGCTAGGCTATACAAATAATAATTTGTTAATATATATTTATTTTAAAAATTAAATGTGAGTATTACCAATGACTTGGTTGGTGCCCATGTCGCCTGTGTAGGGTTGATTTGACTTAAAAAATCATTTATATCACGATCCTCGTCAGCTGCCTATAAAATTTAAATTATTAATACTTAAATTATTTCAATATATACAAGTTATAAATTACCCTTGATTGTGAAAGGTCGTCTTCATCATACATTGGAGACATACTCGAGTATTGAGGCGGCGAAATGAGCCTCATTTCGGATTCGGTGAATAACTATAAAATAATAATTATACGTTAAATATTTTTACAAACGATATAATTTAAAGGTTTACCTCTGGTGACATTTCTCCATTGCATCGTTGCGCCCATTGTTCAGCTAATTGTGAAGAAGCATACATTTTGATTTGGCTGATGAAATTCATGTCGTGTTTAGGAGTTGATCCAATTATTTTATCGTCACTTGTATGTTTGATAAAAACGATCATTTCATCGATGTTTTTCGGTGGTGATTTCACATTGGAGAATTCCTGGTCCAAATAATTTCCAATAACCTCAAATTGTTGTAAGACAACTGGCCGTATGATGGTTGACTTTCGAACGACTGTTTGATAATACACCATTCTAAATATTGCATTTTCATTAAATCTGTCCTATTCAACAATACCCGACACCCGGCTTGTCTTTTCGACTCAATCACTAGCACATTTTCTCCTTGATACACCATACTAGATAGTGAAATCATTTCTGTTTCCAGAAATAAATTGCGCTTGTATTTTTGAGGTTGCTCGAGTATAAAAGATAGAATGTTCCCCATAAGTGAGAATATACGTTTTAGAAATTCGGCAGACATATTTAAATATCTTGAAGGTGTTATTATTTGCACTATAGTGTTGAAATCATCTGTAGGATCAAGTCCTACATTCAAAAACTTGCGGCCGGTGAAGTCTAGTGTAAAATTGTTGCTACAGTCGATGAGTTCTGCAGGCGGTGTTGGAGGAATATATGTAAAATTCTTCTTGTATACTGCAGTCATGTTTCCAATTGGACCAGCCATATTTAAAATTATTTTTGAAAATAAAAACACACACTTTTAAACTCACTAAAATTTTTAGAGACAAGAGCGAAAACTACATGTACACCAGTTTAAGGCAGCAGACGGACTAAACGGCGATCGACTCTTTTAGTTAGGAGTCTCTATAATAGGTGGGGACAATATATATTAGCGGCTATTAAGAATCCGCGACATCCAGGCGAGCGATAGGACACATTAAGAAGACATTTATTTTACTGCCATTTGGTAGGAAAAAATCACTAATGTTCAGGTGGAATGATTTAATTGAATATGAATAATATATCTATTATTGTTAATACGAGGCCAAACGTGTACCGGTAGAAGGTACTAATATCAATTTTAATGTGATTTCACTAATAGGTTCCGTATGTAAATACAACGCCCAACGTGCTTAATTTGCTAAATGTAGAATCGGCTATGGCATATTTCAAAAATAATGTATAACATTCGATTTCCACTGGGTTAAATAAATATATAACAAATGATAACTGATAACAATTTATTTGATAACCGTGGGAGAACTGCGATGTGATAACGGCGGTAAAAGATAATCGTCATATATGATAACAATAATATGTGATAACAAATGATAAAATATTTGTTGATTATAAATCGCGCACGCGCACGATCGGGATTCGTTTGAGGCATCGGCGGCGGCGGACGTGGCGGGCGGTGGCATCAGCGGGTGAGGCGGGGATATACGTCACGTATGTACGCGACCGGCGGTGG